GGGGGGGGGGGGGGGGGGGGAGCTGAACGCTCTCGTCTCTATGATATCATTGTTGAGGGTGTGGTCTTTATTGCCCATTATGGAGAGTAGTCTGGACCAAGGGCATAAATTTGGGTTGAGCATTGTGGGGTTGAGGTCTCCACCCGTTTTAGGGGATCCAGGCGGTTGTATTAGCTTGATTTGATTATTTGGGGGGGTGGTTATGACCCCCTATCCCCCCTATAATTTGGACCCCTTTAACCTGTGGTCTGGACCCCTATAACCTGTGGTCTGGACCCCACCCTTATGTCTGCTGAGCCTCTGCAGTGTCCAGCTCCAACCCTACTGCAGAGCTGGCCTGCTTGATTGCCCTGTTAATGCCTTTATTCATGCTCTAAATGATTAGATGGATCTTTATTTGCCATCCGCACAAGTGCATTGGAAATCGTTACTTTTTCACACATCCCGTCTTGCTCTCTTCTGCGACATGTGCACACGCAGTTCAGAATGAAGCTTGCAGTTCAGAATGAAGCTTGCAGTTCAGAATGAAGCTTGCAGTTCAGAATGAAGCTTGCAGTCAGAGTTTATCCAGTGCCCCTGGGGTTATCGTAAGGTTAGGGACCTTGCCCAAAGGCCCAGTGGACGTGGGACTGTTCAGCCAAGGATGGGATCTGAACCTGTGACATTCCGATCACAGGCACAGAGGCCTCACCTGCTGAGCCACACACCCATTAACAACCAAGACGCATGATTAAATCCCTCGAGTAAACTTGGTGAATAATAAAATCTTTATACCGATGGTTAGTAAGGTTCCATTAAAAACCAGGTAGTCCCTGATAGCTTCATCTGCAGGACTGTGTTTTGGGTAATTTTAATTCTATTTGCAAATACTTTGTGATGGTGTGGGGAGGACGAGACTAGACTTGAATGCGTGATGTGAGAATGTGGAACGCTGTCATGGATCGCAGGTGAGAGGATTGTTATGGGTGATGGCTGATTATAGGAGCCGTCCTGCCTTCCTGTTTACTGCGGTGCTGCGGAGCATTTGGGCACAATTTTGTTGATTTAAGGACTGTTGACTCTTGATTTAAGGACTGTTTTTCGGCTAGTTATAAGCCACTAATAAGGCTGTCGGACGGAAATTAGTTTAGTAGTTTGAGTAGCTGGATTAGGTTTTTGGTTTTATGAATTGCGGTCTTTAAATAAGATGATGGAATTAAAGCATGCCGTTGCGTTATTTGTCAGAAGACTGGGAATAACATGATGTACTCAAGCGCATGTTTGCCAGAATAACTGCCCCCCCCCCTTCCCCCAGATCATCAAGGAGGCCAATCAGAAGATAGTGGAAGAGTTCGGCTACTGCGTTCTCGACAGCCACCGCGAGCGCATCGGCAACTTCAAGATCGAGCCGCCGGGCTTGTTCCGTGGTCGGGGGGAGCACCCCAAGCAGGGCATGCTCAAGAAGAGGATAAGGCCAGAGGACATCATCATCAACTGCAGCAAGTGAGGGAGGCAGCTGTGCGGCAGGGGCGGGGCCAGAGGCACTGGCCTCCATCTGATAGCTGATTGGACCCTGAAGTGTGGCCCCTCCCCTGTCACTTACCAATTCAAAGCATACCATTGGCCATCTATATGAGTTATGGCCCCTCTTATGCCCCCATCCTCTTATGCTGTCAGGGTGTGATGTGGGACAAATTCTGAAACTGACTCAGATCCCGCTCTGACACCCCACCCCCCGCCCCCAGGGACTCCCACGTCCCCGAGCCTCCCATGGGTCACCAATGGAAGGAGGTCCGGCACGACAACACGGTGACGTGGCTGGCCAGCTGGGCGGAGAATGTGCAGGGGTCGTGCAAGTACATCATGCTCAACGCCAACTCCAAGCTGAAGGTAAGTCTGGCGGGCAGGTAAACTGGCGGGTTGCTGGTGGCAAAATGGACCCGGTTTGTTGGTCTGTGCCATTCATTAACTGATATACCACTTAGCCTGTAGCATTTAAGTATGTGTGGGAAGATCTACCTGCGTGTATCGCAAACCAGTTCCTGGGGAGCCACAGGCAGTCCACATTTTTGCTCCCTCCCTGCCAATCAAGCGCCAAATACCTGGTACAGATGTGTTGGGAGGGGGGAGGGCGCAAAAATATGGGCTGTCTGTGTCCCCCCCCCCCCCCCTTCCCACCCATCCCAGTGGACTGGGGTGAGAAACACTAAAAGTATGTTGAAAGAAGACCCAACAGTGCAGTGCTCTCTGTACTGTACCTTTGAGGTCACCTTTAGCTGCCTGGGACAGCGTGCTGGTTAGGGACACAGGTTTCGAGGCACCGAGAGTCCCAGCTCTAGTTCCCTTGAGGAAGGTACTTAACCTGAACTGCTCCAGTAAAATACTCAGCAGTATAAATATGGTTTTAAAAAATGCTCTGGATGAAAGTCTCAGGCAAGCCAGGGATGGGCAAAAGTATATCATGATGAAGCCAGATTCTGTCATGGTTGCTATATTTTTTTTATATCCGTTACGGTGCCTGTTTAAGATGGCTAATTGTATTCTGCTGTACCTGCAGCAAACTGTACAGAGTAGTATAGAATAAACGAACGTCATTTCCTGTAATTTTAACTGGAAATAAAATTAAAAAGAAACAGCATTGGCCTCCAATACTCAAAGTCTTTGAAATTTTGCACAGGAGCGATGCTGCTGTTGCTACAGATTGTGGCTTTTGGGAATTTTCGAAATGAACCAAATACAATATGGACAAGACGAGTCCGCTCTCCACACCTCAATGCCGATCTGTTTACATTTTTTTAGCAGGGATAAAGTCCCCTTTTTCGCAACCTCACGTGCCGGAGCTGACCTATGTCCCACTGGATGCTGAATTCCTTCCCTGAAGGGCTGTCGATAACCATCTCATGTCCTCCTCTGCTGTCCCTATCGGAGCTTTACGGCTGGAGGCTGTATCGCTGATTTTTTTTTTCTTTCTTTTTGGGTTTCCGCCTTGTACTCTTTTGCTGACCCAAAGATAACGCCATGTGGCATGTGCTATGTGCTATGTGCTATGTGCTATGTGCCGTGTTCCGTGTGCCGTGTTCCGTGTGCCGTGTGCCGTGTTCCGTGTGCCGTGTTCCGTGTGCCGTGTTCCGTGTGCCGTGTGCCGTGTGCCGTGTTCCGTGTGCCGTGTTCCCTGCCAGGTGCCGCCGCTTTAAGTGATGGGATAGATTCCATGTGACTTCCCCGTTTGCTGTGGTTATCATTTCTGCAGCGCTGGAAGAGAAAATGTCTGGTCATTGTCACATGTAATGACACCTATTGACTGTTCTGGACACTCAATCTTCAGAATGACCAACGGAGCAATCTGTTACGTGATATTAATTTTTAAAAATCAGCCTGTTACAGTAGTAATTAAGGGAATTAAGATTGGAGTTCAGAAGTGTGGACATAGATGCTAACTATGGATCTCAAATTTTACACACACCTTCTGCCAGTCTCCAAAGTGATCACTAAAATATTTTAATTTATTCATTTTCCGTGTGCACAGCGTGCACATTTAGACTCCTATGTTGTGATATTGCACTACTGTCCAGAATTAGCAACGCATGAATTCACACAGTATACAGAGCGGTAACCGCAGGGAACTGAGCTGAGAATGAAAATGAGGTGTCTCAGCATGTGGTCTGTGCTCCTGCCTGTTTAGGGCCAACTCTAAAGTCTTAATACCCTTGGGCCATGTTTATGGTATGCCACACCGCCAGTCACTTCCTGTTTAGAAAGTCACATGATGACTGCACTACCAGGGGTGTATTCCACCATGCAGCATTTCCGAGTTAGCTGGATAACTTAAGCCAAGCGTGAAAACTGCCCAATCAGAAGACAGGTATTCCTATTTGACAGTCCTTATATTTTGCATAAGTTTGCATCTGGCTAATGGAAAAATCCTGCTTAGTGATATACCCCCTAGGTGTTCATACCTGAGTGCTTATGAGACACTTTCTATACAGTTACAGTATATAATTGGAATTAATTTTAGTTGAAGTGTGACTTAGGGCAATATCAGTGACTGTCAGGGCTTCACAAGCATCATCTTCACCGTCATACCTCTTCAGCTGTGGGTCTTGGAGGTCAGCTAGGACAGACCAAAACCCTTGTTTCCAAGGCCGCTGACTGTGCACCATTCCGTGGGATCCCCAGATGTCCTACCAACTGGTGTGAGTAATAATCCCTCCAGCATATACTGGAGAACTGGACTTCTTTAATCTGCTGAAGATGTCAGCAGGTTCTGAGTTATGAACACGAATGACGCCATTAAGAGAACTTGAGATGAAGCTGTTGGAAAAGCCGTCGGCATGAGCTGGTCCAGTGGTGCCGGCAGAGCCGTTATTTGCGCTGCGATGACACACAGCCCTGCGCTGGCCTGCACCTCTGCGCTGCGATGACACACAGCCCTGCGCTGGCCTGCACCTCTGCGCTGTGCTTTATAACCTCACACTCCTCTGTGCGTGTGGCTCCAGCATCTCCGCTCCATCACACGCGCTCACTCTGGGAAGCCTGTTTCTCTGATGGCCTCCATTCCTCCGTTCGTCACCTTGCTTGTTCCAGTTGGATGCTTACACTGCCCTATTGTCATGTGATGATTCCCCCCCCCCCAGTATTGTACTGGGCCTAATCTGTTCCTGTGTGTGAGACTGCATCTCTGTGTGTGTCTGTCTGTGAGAGTGTCTCTCTGTCTGTGAGAGTGTCTCTCTGTCTGTGAGAGTGTGTGTCTGTCTGTGAGAGTGTCTCTCTGTCTGTGAGAGTGTGTGCTTGTATGTGTCTGTGGTTGTCTGTCTGCGCCTGTACGCATGTATATCTGCATACCTGTGTGTGCGTGTGTGTGTATGTATGTATGTGTGTGTGTGTGTGCGTGTGTATGTATGTGTGTGTGTGTGTGCGTGTGTATGTATGTGTGTGTGTGTGTGTGTGTGTGTGTGCGCACGCTTTTCCTCATAAACACTGTGTGATGCAGGCATCCGCATCGCTGTGTTAGAGGGCCCAGTAAAGAGCGAACAGAGTGCAGGTTTAATTTACCGCAGGGGCCAGGCCTTGGACCCTCACACCTGATCTGGATGTTCGGGGGCGGTAAAGCACTTACTTTTCTGTCCTTGGGGCAAGCTTCTCTGGGCCCTTAGGTAGTAAGTAAATATCGCCTTTGGCTGAAACATACCCACAATTGGGGGCTCGGTGCATTAGCTACACCTGCTTGTTCACGCAACCATCCTGTTCCGTCAGACAGCCATTCATGTGGAAACTGAAAACATACAGCATGTATTCAAAGGTTCGGTTACTGTTTGGCTGAGCATTACGACGGCTGTGATGCCTGATGGAAGTGAGTTGAATGTGCTGTGATTGTTGATTGCCAGCATCTCAGAAACCGCCACTTTCCTGGGACTTGCGCGCAGTGCAGTGTCTAGAGCAGAAAGGGCCGTTGTGCATGCAGGTTTTCACTGCAACTCCCTAAATTACTAATTAGAGGACTGATTGGCTGAAGAGTCCTCACACCTAGGTTTGAACAGCTGACCTACAGGTTATCCCAAAAACCCACATACACACCGGCCCTTTGTGGATAAGATTGGCCACCACTGGTCTAGAGTTTACAGAGAAGGGAGCAATAAACAAAAATCACCTGGCCAGTGGCAGTTCTGTGGCTGAAAACACCTCACTAATGAGACGGGTCAGAGGAGAATGGGCAGGCTCGTTAAAGCTAACAGGAAGGACACGAGCGCAAAAATAGCAGCTCTGTTCAGCAGACAGACCCCTGTGAACACGCTCTTCTGCCCTCGATGTGGCTCTAAAGGTAAAAATAGCTCCGCCCTGGTGGTAGCTAAGTGTAGCTAGTAAAGTGGCCACTTTTACATCAGTCTCTGCTGATATTTCTTCCCTCTTTAAGCATTTCATGGTCCTGTCTGTCTTGTGAGCCCTTCTGAGCAAACTATAGGCTACAAAAGAATGTCTATGTTACACATTCCACATACCTTTGGGTCACTCCGTGTGTGTGTGTTTGTTTGTTTGTAATTATTACATTGTGGGGACTGGAGTTACCTGTGACTTTGTACCGTATGGGGACATTTTTTCGGTCCTTACAAGGAGAACCTCTGTTTTTCAAAAATCTGTGACTGCAATCAAAAAACTAAAAAGGGAAAAAGTCTTGTATTTTGCTTGGTTACTTATGGTTAAGGTTAGGGCTGGGTGGGGGTTAGGGTCTGTTGTTGTTGGGATTAGGGTTATGCCCATAGAAATGAATGTAGAGTCCCCAGAGTGATAGGAATATATGAAAAGTGTGTGTGTGTGGTTGGGTGTCAGCTGTTTCATCTGGAAAGATCGTGTAAAGAAAATTCTCTGAAAAAGAACAGCTCTGGCTTACAACACAAGTGAAAACCTTTCTATGACGTACAGCCATGTATGCAATTCTTTCCTATCTGGTTGGCCCATAGAGATGGCGGAATCGCTTTCAAAATTGGGAGGGGGTATCGAGACATCACATGTTGTATGAAAGTACAGTAAGAATGCAGGTGAAATCCATGCGGCCTCCCTCTTAGATATGTTGCGTCTGGTTGAGTGATGTAGCTGTTGGCTCGTAGCCTGTGCCGGTGTTTCCCAACCCAGTCCTCGGGGAACCCCGGACAGTCCACGTTTTTGCTCCCTCCCAACTCCCAGCCAATCAGGAACACTGAATACCTGGTACCAGTGCGCTAGGAACTGAGAGGAAGCAAAAACGTGGACTGTCCGGGGTTCCCCGAGGACTGGGTTGGGAAACACTAGCCTGTGCTGTCTGTGCCCCCCCCCAATAAAGAGTGTCACTTACCCGCAGTTTGTGCTCCCCCCGTATTTACATACAGGCCATATGATGGAGCGTCACTCTGCTCCGTGACAGACATGGTGGCAGTCTCTCCATGTGGTTTCTCCTTACCTTCCTCTCTTTATCTACGCCCCTTTTCCTCCTCTCCTTATCACTCCCCTCTGCCCCTCCGTCTATTCAAGCCCCCCCCACCCCTTTTTCTGAAGGTTAAGTTATTCTGGTTTATATCCGTGACGTTTCTTCACCAACAGAAGGTAACGAGATAATTAAACAGCCTGAGGTGTTTCACACCTGATATTACCTCATTGCACCCTGAAAGAACATGGAACACTGTACTAAAGTTTTAATTAATTTGCACACTTTCATTCCTTTAAATGTCGTGTTTAGCGTGTTTTTTTTAAAATACTAACTTATTGCTGTCTGTTTCTCCTACTGTGAGGTTTCTAATTGGCGTTCAGTCCTTCATAGGTAGGTGGTTTTATTCAGATATGTGCTTCTACAGTGTAAGCACAGTGACATTCTTGTCACAGTTGCAGTGTGGGGCACAGGGAGAGAGGGCAGACAGCAGTGCAATTCAGAACAGGACAGTGCAGGACAGAGTAGTGCAGTTTAAGACAATGCAAAATAAGAATAGGTAAATATGTGCAATGGGACCATAGAAAATGGCAAGTGGACAACAGTTGATAAAGAACATAAAACTGATAAAGTGCTGCAGTGGAATATCAATAATGTCTATATAATGCATTGGCAGTGGTAGGTACAGGTCACTGTTGTTCAGGGTGGGGGGATCCCTAAAATCCTGGGTGGGATATTTGTGTTGGTCTACCTGGACTTCCTTTAGACTAATCCGAGCGGTGATAGAGAGTTCACGGCACCCCCACCCACTGTAACTCTCATTACTACGTGCAAACTCCTGCTGAATGAGCTGGGAGAGACCCCACACCCACCTACGACAGACGTATGAATTGTTTGCGTTAATGCTCTGCACGGTCTAATCCAGTGGGCATGGTGAAGAGGGCGAACGCACTCTGATGGCAGCTTCAGGGCTGCTGCGGAGATCATCCTACGAAGGGCCGGCACCTTCAGCTGCCGTGCCACTGAACCGGAACGCTGGCAGCGTGTCAGTGCTGCCGTCTGTGAAGGTCACGTACGGAGAAGCCATCTGAAAATGAGTGGAAGTGACCAGCAAGCCAGGGCACGCGGGGCTATTTCCAGGTCCTTCCCGTCTCGTCGCCCCGTAAAGGCGGCCATCCTTTTGCCTGCGGGGGCCGTAACAATGACAGATTGTTAGAAGGCGGCACATTTTGGCAGCCCGTCTGAGACGAATGTCTTTTAACGAGAGCGGTGACGGCGACGTAAAGAGACGGTGCCAGTTAGCCAGGTGTGGACGTTAAGGCAGGAGCACCGTAGCGTTGCTGCCTACAAGCTGTTAAGGCAGGAGTTGCCCTTGATGAAATGTTTTGATTAATAAGTAACCTTCAGTATCCAAACCTTGACAAATTCGCCTTCGTTTTAGACGAGGAGGCGTTTCACTGCCTGCTGAGCCTGTAGCCACCTGTCACAGCTCTGGTTGCCGTGACAGAAACACACTATTTTGATCAAAAGCAGTAATTAGGCATTAGAAAAGTGACTGATGCTCCAACGGTAAACAGTGGAGTGGAGAGGCTGGTTTGTGGATGCATAAAGGCGACTGATGTGCTTTTGAATGTCGTTTGATGTCAATTAAGCAATAATAATAAAATTAAAAAAACACGCGGTTGATGTATGTGACAATTTTTAGTGACGTCATGGGTCCCTCAGGGTGAGAAGGACTGGGAGAAGTACGAAGTGGCCCGGAAGCTGACGACCTGTGTGGATTCGATCCGCTCCCAGTACCAGCAGGACCTGAAGTCCAAACAGATGAAAACGCGGCAGCGGGCCGTGGCACTTTACTTCATCGACAAGGTGATGATGCGGATGCCCATCGGTACCCGGCCGGGTGTAGACAGGCCTGGGGCCTGTGTGTCTCCTGCCCAGTGTATCCCTAAAATACACCGATTTTACCAGACGGGCATCCAACATGCAAAGTGTAGAAACGGCACATCTCGCATGCCCCTGTCTCCCGCTAGGCTGATTATTTCTCTAAGGTTCGGAAGTCTGCTGTGCCGCCGTCGTGGATTTAGCCAAACATGAACATGACTCGGGTTCAGCTCACTAGCTGAAATATAGCCCTTACATGCCGCCACATCCAGGACGGAACAAGCTGAACTCGCGTCAGGATGATTATGTGCGAATGTATTAAGACGACAGACGCAACGTTTCCCAACCCAGTGTACTGGGAGCTGGGAGGGAGCAAAAATGTGAACTGTCTGGGGATCCCCGCGAACTGGGTTGGGAAACGCTGTCATAGAGATTATGGGGGGGGGGGGTGCTGGCCAAGAGGGGCACCAGGATGTCCTTGTTCTCCTGAATAGGTCTATAAATGTGAGAACGTTTCCATGGCTGAACAGGGTCTGCTTGGGCCTGACGGAGACGGCAAAGGCAGCAATGACCGTACGTCAGGCGGCCCCTTGCTTTAATTGTACAGGTGATTCTGCATGCAGGTGTGCTGGTTCAGGGGGACAAGTGAGGAAGTTCTCCTGGGCTTGGAGTGGGGGGTCTAGGGGACAGCCTAGGGGCAAGGGGGCCTGGCTGAAGTGATTTTGTCCTGGGAATTATGCCTGGCAGGCCTGCCTGTTTGTACTCGCTTTGTGTTTATCTGCTGTGGGTGATGTGTCGAATGGAAACGCGCCCTGGTGTCGCGTTTTATTTGTGTCTGAGTGAGGTGTCTGTGGGTCTGTGTGCAGGGGTGCGCGGGGGGGCGAGCAGGGCCCGTTTTCTGTGCGAGTGCCAGTCAAGCCTCGTCAACTTGGCCCACCCCTCCCCCATGCAGCTGGCCCTGAGAGCGGGTAACGAGAAGGAGGAGGGCGAGACGGCGGACACAGTGGGCTGCTGCTCGCTGCGCGTGGAGCACATCGCTCTCCACGAGCGGCTGGACGGCGACCAGCACGTGGTGGAGTTCGACTTCCTGGGTAAAGACTGCATCCGCTACTATAACAAAGTGCCCGTGGCCAAGAAGGTGAGGCTCAGCTGGACCGGATCATGCTAATGAGATGCTAATGAGATGCTAATGAGATGCTAATGCTGTGTACAATAGTGGAGCCCAGATTATTTTACGAGTGTCTAATAAATTGCTGACCCCAAGATTACCTCTCACCTGTATATGTGTCTCAAAAAGAGAGCATTATGGGATATGTGAAAAGAAGCATTCCAATGTACCTGTACTCAAAATATCTCTACAAATGACAAATTTCATTTTAATTTTATTACACACCTGATAACGGAAATTAATTATGCCGCGTTGACTTTCTCATCGAGGAAGCTCGCTGCGCCCACGTTTGCGTGTAAACACTGAGGAGCGTGTGTGCGTTTGCTCTGCGGAGATGGCAAATAGCAGAGTCTTCCCCTACAGGAGCAGAGCAGCGGATCTCCGTATCCACCGCCTTTACACACGGGAAGGCGCTCTGTGTCTCCATCACCTATCGCTCGTGAAGCATACTGTTTTTATTTTTAAACTCGGGACGGTGCATTTAATTTGCCTGGAATGATTTCCGAACTGAAGCCAGATACTGCCTTAGTTGACAGGCATGTCTTCCTGTGCTGTTTAGTTTTCTTGACTCAAGGTTTAATTGTTATTCAAATTAGACTATTTAAAAGCAACACAATGGATAAAATTAATTAGTTCCCAGGGTATTTTAGCTGGTTTATTTGGAGAAAGGAAAACACAACTGCTCGGAAATGTCAAATATAATTGAGAGCATCTTAATTCCAGTCTTGATGAGTGAGTAGAAATGGAACGCCTGTTTGATGGCGTCAATAAGCATCTTTTCATCTGGCGGGTCGAGTTCGGGCCGGTGTGTTTGGTTCTGTCTGCTCCGCGTGTTCAGCCTGTTTGTGGGAGCGTGTGAATCCGCAGTAACACTGGGAGGCCTGCAGGGTGCAGTAGCCGCATCTTAGGCCGGACCTGAGATGTGGTCAGTATCACTACAGATGGGCATCTATACCTTGTGCAAACAATTTGCTAAGCCTGGTGTTACATATCTTTGGTTGTCTGGATTAATATGTGTTTTTATAAATTACTGGAATTACAAGTCAAGCGTCTGGTGGTGGGGGGGCGGCTGATCCCTCACATCTCCCGGGATGGGATTTCTCATTTTCCAGCGGTCCAAAGATGTGCAATTAGGCTAATTGGTGTCTCTAAATTGCCCGTGGTGTGTGCGAGTGTGTGTGTGTGTGCCCGGGCATCCAATCCAGAATGCACCCATGCCTTTTATGCTGGACACTGACCCCCCCCCACGCCATGACCCTGCACTGTATAACCAACTGGAATATGGATGGAATTATTGGAATTAATCTTTATGTTTATGTAGCAAAAAACTTGGTTACTGTACATATGTTTAGTATTGGTGCTCCAACTTAAAATATAAATTCATATAAATCGAGAACAAACCATATCAGTCAGCTTCTACCAGACAGCATTTTCAGCTGCCCCCCCCCACCAAAGTCTAATTGTTATTCAAATTAGATTATTTAAAAGCAACACATCAGGTAAGATTAATTAGTTCCCTGAAATGTTTTGTCTGGTTTACTAGGAGACGAAGGAAACAGGGTGTCTTTGAAATGTCACATATAATTGAAGGAATAATTGAGGAGTTTTTTTTTTCTTTTTTTAAACCTCTTTATGAGCTGGGAAAACAGATGAGAGCTGGTGAGTCCAGGTCTGACAGCCAGCATCTGGGATCCCCAGAGTGAAATTACCTTCTCTAATGCAAACGTGACCTTTTTTTTCCCAGGTCTTCAAAAATCTGAGGCTTTTCATGGAGAATAAACAGGAGGGAGATGACCTGTTTGATCGTCTCACCGTGAGTCTATCACATTGGCACCTTCGTTAACGTTGGCACTCACTAGGGTGAGGTGTGAACGCCGTGTTTGGGTTTGGGGGTCAACAGATGCAGGGTATGAGGTAGAATAAGCTCAGACCTGTTTCTAATTGGGGCCAGTGTATGGCTCAATGGGTTAGGATGATCTGCCAATGGTCAGAAGGTCTCCAGTTCAAATCCCAGGGTCAGAAGAGTGATTTTAACCACTGGGCCCCTGAGCAAGGGCCTCAACCCGCAGCTGTTCCAGCTACTGGCTGACCCAAATTTCTCAATTGTACATCGCATTGGATAACGGCTTCTGCTGAATTAAAATGTATGTAAGAAACCAGAAGTGTTCCACTCAGCATGGCTGGTCCGAGCTGCATTCCCAGTGGTTTTGCTGCCTATCAGGAGGTCAGTCCACAATGCTTGGCTTATGTAGGCTGGCCACTGTGACCCAAGGTATGAAGCAGGGTGGTTTTCTCCGTCCCAGTGCCGTCTGGAATTGTGCTCCTGTGCTGTTAGTTTATAGGTCAGTCTTAAACACTAAATGACAGAGTAACCCTTCAAGAGAAATAGCAGGAGCCATGATGTGATGTTTTAATAGTGCCTTCCAGAGTCAGTGCGTTAAATGCGGTTTTATGTGGCACAAAACAATGTCATGGAACCAGGTTGCTAGTTAAATTGTGGCATGTCGTCGTACACAATGAGCAGGAAACAAATGTAATTTGAATGTGCAAGTCGATACATAGATCATGCATTGGGTATCAGATCATCCTGTCTGATCAGACAGAATTTGGTGCCCAAAATTTGATGCTAGTACGTAATAGGTGTTTGGGGGTAATTCCTCTCTCGCCATGCACAAGCTTATAGTGCAACTGCAAAGACTGTTTCATCACTTTATGCTAATATAATATGTCCGTTGACTCGTAGTGTTTCAACTTGTACGGCGAAATGAGTAATAGGCTCGCTTAACTTTCATTATGCAGAGCAGTAGAGGGACCGGTGGCAGCTGGCATGCAGATAAGGAAACATTCAGGCAGGCAGTGCTGAACAGTGTGTGTAAAAATGCTCATCTCACCTTGATTCAAAAAGACGTGACCGGCCATCATTTATATATACATTTTTTTATTGAACCAAATCGACATTCGATTGAGAATGCAGGGTCTGACAGGCCCAGAACCAACTGGGAGTTGAAGGCCTTGTACTAGGGCCCAACAGTGAAATCAGTCTGCTCTTGGGATTCGAACCAGTGACCTTCTGATCACAGACATGGCTTCTTAACTCTGAGACTCACATCGCCCTCTTAAAAACTTGGTTAGAGATGCCATGACGTAAGTGACAGTGGCTTAAACATATGTATGTTGACGGTCACTAGCAGAGTTGGGTAATTCGGGTCCAGAGAGTAAAAGTCCAGACCAAGATTTTGTTTCAACCAACCGGTTATATTTTCTGTAACCTGGACTCTTTATGATCAACTGGTTGGTTGGAACAAAATCCTGGTCTGGACTATTACTCTCTGGACCCAAATTACCTAACTGGTCACTAGGTCCTCTTCCATGTTTGTCATGGGGAGTGCTAACCTTTCCCCCATTCAAACACACAGCACAGAAGATAATGGGGATATATTTATATGTGTCTCACAGCACTGAAAACTGCTACACCTGGGCTTATATCAACTGCTTATGGAGCACATGAAAAACGCTGAGTCGGCATCTTTGTGGCTCTTCAGAATTCTCCAAAAAGATGTGAAAATACATCACTATGGACTAGAGTGTCTGCGAAATAAATGGAAATAGTACATGGTGATTATGGGTCACAAAGTGTTTAGCCTGTGACCCACTCCTGTCAACAACTCAGTCAGATAACCGGGAGAACTTCCGATGACTTGCACATATGCACTGAATACTGCCACTGCATCACGGAAGGAAGGAACGTCGCCTACTTTCCTTCTTGCATTACCAAACTAAACTGTCTTTTGCGAACCAGGGCCGCTGACAGACACATGCACAGCTGTAGCCACACGCTGCCTGTTGAAGATACTGAGCACGCAGTCCGTGCAGTGTTATGTGCCAGCCCATCGCACAGAGTAGCTGTTTACGCACCTTAAGTGCTTCCAAACAGACTGTTTTGCCAGAAAGCAGTGCTGGTTTTTGGGGATGTAATTTCGGATATGTTGGATGCCAACGTGGTTTGGCATCGGTCACTTGTTTGCTTTGCAAATCGGTTATCTCCATCTGCAGATAGTCGGGCGCTTGTAGCTCTGCGGTGGAAGTATCAGCAAATAATGGTGCTGTCTGCCAGTGTCACTGGAAATTGAGTAAGAGCTGTTAGGAGCTGCTTGACAAGTCTGACAGCCTCAAGTTTAGTGGCACATAGATTTTTTTAGAAGGCATCTTCATGCATATCAATTATTTATTTATTTATTTTTATTTTGTCACGAGTCAAACATGAATGAGAATCTGCTTCTCCCAAAAATTTATCCTAGTTTTCAAAGCTGTTTTCTTCTCCGTTGGACCTTGATGTTTCCTTATTTGAAGTGTTCATTCGCTTCTCAAGATCTGATAAAGAAGGGGAGACGTGGCAGCTGATGTAGGTCATCGTACTCTTTTGATCCTCCACCTCTTGTCACTCAAACTTTGGATGAAATGAGCCAGTTTAATTTGCTAATGTTTCAGCACAGTGTCTCTAACCCTGCTTTCTGCAGTTGTTAATCGCCTAAAAATTTTTAGAGTTGAAACACCGCAGCATAAGTAATTTTGCTTGTTGTGTCGTCTGATGTTCAAACGTGAGCCACATAACTTGTGGATGCTGCACGTTTGTTTGCAATGTGCTTCCTGCCTCACTTTGTATGTCACTCCGTCAGCCGTGGCCGCTAAGTATGTAAATGTGAATGTATTCACCATCATCACAATTTGTGGTTTTAGCTGATCAGTGAAACTCCACAATATCGCTGTAAATGCAGAGGATCTCCTAGAGCAAAAATATAAACATAAACAATATAATGAATAAAAATGGTAATTTTTGAATTTTCAGGGTTTCCTGTTCTGGATGTTACCAATGGCTGATGTCGCATGGATAGATGATGAGAGCCATGTTTGTTTGTAATCTTGCTGAATAATATGGACCGCTTTAAATGTGTGTTGACCATTTGGTAGGGCCTACTGGTTTCCACGGAGAATACGCCTGGGAGTGCAGTTCCCGTTATTTACTCGCGGCGGAACATAATCTCGCTCCTGCCGTTGCCGTTTTTACACAGTCTGTTTAATATGTATTACCCATTTGTCTAATTAAGTAGGAATTATGGGGTGTTGTGCCATCGCGTGCACCCAAGCTCTTTGGCAATGGGACGGCTGCGGGGCCGTCATCCATTGAATTGTTGCCCGGCTCTGTTGGGAATTCCGCAGTAGTTTTTTAATGAATTGGTATGTGACCATCAGGCAGGTGGCATGATGAAGATGACGTGAAGGACGTTGGGATCGCTTGCCTCGTAGCTCTCTTGTATGTTATCAGTCACGCATGTAGGGTCATTCATGCATGTTATAGCTACAAGGGGCCCCTCAACACCTGGCAGTGGCAGAATTAGCGGCCCCTGGGCCTCCTACTCCCGGTAAAATGTAGTTAACAGTCTGTTTCTGAATGGAGGTGTATCATTTTCAGTTTGTGAATGATCTGTAGTTTGGGCACAGTCAATGATTAAGATCCTGACAACCTCTCTCAGGAACTGCGTGGACAGTATTGGTAGTACAGAGGCTACTAAATCACCTATAAGGTTTTGGTGATATGGGGCTACTAGATCACTTGGGAGGTATTAGTGATATGGGGCTACTGGATCCCCTGGAAGGTATTGGTGGTATAGAGGCTATTGGATCACCTGGAAGGCATTGGTGGTATAGAGGCTATTGGATCACCTGGAAGGCATTGGTGGTATAGGGGTTACTGGATCACCTGGAAGGCATTGGTGGTACAGGGCTACTGGATCCCCTGGAAGGTATTGGTGGTATAGAGGCTATTGGATCACCTGGAAGGAATTGGTGGTATAGAGGCTTCTGGATCCCCTGGAAGGTATTGGTGGTATAGGGGCTACTGGATCCCCTGGAAGGCATTGGTGGTATAGAGGCTATTGGATCACCTTGAATGTATTAGTGATATAGGGGTTCCTGGATCACCTGGAAGGCATTGGTGGTATAGAGGCTATTGGATCACCTGGAAGGTATTGGTGGTATAGGGGCTACTGGATCCCCTGGAAGGTATTGGTGGTATAGAGGCTATTGGATCACCTGGAAGGTATTAGTGATATAGGGGTTACTGGATCACCTGGAAGGTATTAGTGATATAGGGGTTACTGGATCACCTGGAAGGTCTTGGTGATATAGGGGTTACTGGATCCCCTGGAAGGTCTTGGTGGTACAGGGGGTACTGGATCACCTGGAAGGTATTAGTGATATAGGGGTTCCTGGGTCACCTGGAAGGTCTTGGTGGTACAGAGGCTATTGGATCACCTGGAAGGTGTTGGTGGTACAGGGCTACTGGATCACCTGGAAGGTCTTGGTGGTACAGGGGGTACTGGATCACCTGGAAGGTCTTGGTGGTACAGAGGCTACTGGATCCCCTGGAAGGTGTTGGTGGTACAGGGCTACTGGATCACCTGGAAGGTCTTGGTGGTACAGAGGCTATTGGATCACCTGGAAGGTATTGGTGGTACAGGGCTACTGGATCCCCTGGAAGGTATTAGCAGCAGGAATGCTCGATGCCCCCTTGCTCTGAATTTGCTGGGCAAGCCCATCAGTTTATCTGCACTGCTTTTTATGACCAAACAGCCTTGCTGGCCCAGTCAGATCCTACAGGTGGATTAGAGATGCAGAACGTCGCTCTTCCGTCTGCTTTTTCCACGTCAGCCCCAGCTCAGGTCGCCGCTCTGCTATTTAAGAGCAGCAGAGGGAGTTAAATGTCATGGAGAGATTTTAGAAAGGTTTCCTTATGAGCGGCACCCCCACACCCAGCATCCTCAGACTGCACCCCCCCCCTTCCGTCTCTCTTGCTGTAAAATGCACTCTGCAGGCATCTGTTGGACTCGTTCTTTCCTGGGGTCGTTTTTTGTGTTTGCTTTTCTTTTTAAAAACCCTTATCTCAGATTGCCATGGTTCTGGGTCGTAGCTTTCCTCCCTGTCTGTTCTGATACCGTGGTATCATTGGGACCTTGAGCGGAGGGGATTGGCCACAATGTCTTGCCTCTGGTCCGGGTGGCAGGCACCCAGTGCCCGTGTTGTCCAGTGCGGTCATCCAGAGTTTCACGAGGCCTCAGTGCCACAGTGGACATGTGCTCCTGCAGATAAGAGCCGACCCAGGTCCCAGGAAACTGCCAGAGAGATGGCCAGTCAGAGCATGCTAATGTACCCATTCACCCTCTCCCCATGACCTCTTGGCTTTGGGGAGACCCTGCTGGGGATGCGCACCTATGCACTGCTGGCGTGGAGGGCTGGGCCTTTGGGCCTGCACAGGCGTGGGACTGTGTCTGCTTGCAGGGGCATATTTCCCAGCCCCAGAAAGCGTGGTTCTGAGCAGCCGTGCCGGTTTGGCACCTCAGGACGGGTGGCGATGCGTCGGCTTGTGCGAAATGTACGAAACCGCGTTCCGTTTTCTGGATTCCAGGTCTCGTTAAAGGGTCCGAGGGCGGCTGGAAGCTCTCGCCAGAGGCTGCGTTAAGAGGCCGAGTCCCTCCGCTCCGTTAGGTGGACGGTGGACTTCTGGGGGGGCCTGCGTTTCCTTCAGATCGCTTTATTTTAAGGCTTCGGCGCCCGGATCTTATTTCACGCTACAGCCGCGGCCCTTTGTCCCAGCGTTTGTTTTATTTATTTCTTCGTTTCTTCGTCTCCCTCTGAGTGCCTCTGGTAATTAAAGCTAGACGCTGCAAAGGAAGGTTGATGCATGCAAATCCCAGTCCTAAGAAACCAACGCCCAGCCTGCCGTTTTGAGATGTTCATTAAAATCAAGAAGGCGATTCGCAAAAAGTGTAATACGCTTTTTAATCCGCTTCTCATTTTAAATAATGATAATAATAACAAATATGGAAAAGGTATTTAGTTGTCTTTCCCCCAAGTGGGGAGAGACCGGAATGTTGTTTGTTTCCAGTGCCACACTGCCATCTAGTGCTTGGGTCGGTCATTGACACCTTCGTTGCACAGTGGGCTGAGTTTGTTCATTTGAGGAAAAATTTAGTTTTCAGTCAATATGAAGTAAATAGACAAAGTATGGTGTTGTGCTTCTACCGCGTCTGCAAAACATGTAAATGTGAACCGATTCACCGTGACCTTTACTTCTGACCCCTTTCTGTCCCCTTCATACAGACTTCCGAGCTGAACAAGCATCTCAGCTCTCTGATGCTTGGGTTGACCGCCAAGGTTTTTCGAACCTACAACGCCTCCATCACCCTGCAGCAGCAGCTACGAGAGCTCTCAAACGGTCTGTGTCTCCGCTTCATCGCTAATAGCTGGTATCGCACATTCTGGCTTGTTGATACTCATACTCAGTTTATTTTTAACTCCTTTTCTGCATATTGTACTGTAGTATATTTTGCTAAGGTACGTGTGTTTGACCTCTTTGCCAAGGCTGTGCACAGACTGAAGGGTCAGGTGCTCGAACGAAGGGGGAGGGGTATGGCTTGCAAGGGGGGGCACGTGCCTGCTCTATGCTACCTGCTGCCATTTCTTTGTTGGGCGGGGGGTAAGAGGTCGGGGTTATAGGGCAGCAGGGTGCAGGAGGGCCAGCCCATGTGTGTGGCTGCGCCGATTTAATGCCTCCACAGGCGTGTGGGTTGTCGCCTCGTGCATGTAGTTGTCGCAGTCCTGCCCTGCATTGCAGCCAAGGTAATGATGCATGAAACTAGGAGTAAGGATGACATCATGGTGGCGGCATGCCCACTCACAGGTGGGACAGTCAGGCGTACCTTCCTCATTCATCGTTTCAGGACCATCTGCCCAGTGATGTCCACACGCTCTGTCTGTGTAGAGCACCTTCATGCAAGTGAATGTGAAGAATCCTCTGTAAACAAAAAAGATCACATTAACCCTTTTTTCTTCTTAATGGACATGAAGAGGCTGAAGGTTTTATTTTAAGATGAGATGGAACTTTATTGATTCCCCTGGGTGAAAATAGGACAGAAAGATACAGCAAAGAATAATGTACATAAAAAGGCAATAAATGCATAAATGAAAATCAGTAATAAACATAAAATAATAAAGATTAAATCGGGGAACTGTGCAAAACAATGTACCAATATGGTAAATGAAGTGCAAAATCAGGTTATGCACATAAAGCAATGAGATTCTTACTTGCTATGGAACATTAGTACCAAATAAATACAGCATACAAGTACAGCAGTCAATGGTAAATACTGATAAACAAATAAGACAATAGTATCACTGTGGAGAGAACACTTAGCTGGACTGCAAGCAATAATTAGGGGAAACAATTTTCTGTCTATAAAGACTAAATGATATGTTTGTACAAATGAAGGCCACGGCTGATTTGACCTAATAATGCCGATCTCCTTTCGCTAGTAATACTCTGACATTCAGGAAGTCCGGTTACCGAACCGGGTTCCTCGAATTTGAGCCAGCGCTGCTGCCGATTAATCGAATCTGTTATGCCGCACAGTGATGGTATATGTTGGAATCCAGGGTAGGAGCAGATGTCAAGTATGTACATCAAGAGGCAAGTTACCACATAAGGTATTCTAGGTTAATGGCTGAGTCAACAGTTGGCAAATGGAGAAATCATGGATGTATGTACATGCTTATTACTTAACCAGACAGGTGACCCTTAAGGTCAGATTCTACACACAGTAAATTTTAATGATGCTCTCTTATAAGCAAGTAGCTCATTTGTATTGCCAGTTGGCTTCTTAAATGCTAATTACCTCTAGCATGTTATCATTCACCTGCTCATTTTCTTTTCAAAGGGTAAAAACACTGCATTTTTACAGACTATGAAAAGTTCCAATGACTGACCAGCAGAGGGCACTGCATTACATTCTTTGGTTGGAATACTGTGTTACTCAGCTGAAATATGGACCATAAATTGACACATTTGTTAGGTTTTAAATACATGCCATCTAATACATGGCAGTGGGCTAATGACATTTTTTAAATACTTAGAAAATATTATTCAGTTGTTGGCAATTTATGGTAGGTAATTTTGTTGGCATGCAAACTTATAAATATTTTTTGCTTACCCTGTGCATTAGCACACAATGCATTTTGCTGAATCCTGCTCGATGCAGCACCCAGATAAGCATTTTGTAGGAGCTTAGTTAGGGCTGGCTAATTGAGCTTCGGAGCAACTAAAGCCAGCTCTCGGTGCCCCTGGGACCGTGATTATATACCACCTTATCAGAAGCATACAATGCCCAGTATGAACCAGTAAGATCCATACAATTCTTAGTACACTAAGCCAGTAAGAGCTGCTGCCTTGAAAAGGGCATGCATTGAAATGTAAGCTTATAATGAGAAGTAAAGCTTCCTTTTTTTGGGTTGCATAACAACTGTCATGAGTGTGTTAATCTATAGGTCACAGTCAGGTTTGGCACAGCGAATGCCTGCGTGAGATTTATGTAGGTTTCCGCGGTCTAATTATGTGCCGTCGGATGTCGCTGTCCTCTTCACCGGCTGTTCAGCCTCCACTCGCTACACTTCCATCTCTGCCTGACACGTTGTCGTCATCAGCGTATCCGAGGCAAGCGTTGTGTCCCCCACGGCAACGACTGGTCCTTCCCTTTTGTGGCACCACTAGAGAGACATATAATGTGAAGGCTTACAGCTTCTGACTGTGATGAAGCTTCAAGTTGCTGCTTTCAAAAATTTTCAGTCAGTTTTTCATAGTTTCACCTGAAGAAATGAAACATAATCTGTTGTTTTTTTTCTATATTCCTCTGGCCGCCTTATGCTGATTCTTGATGAGTTTTGCTCCTGAGGCAGTTACACTGTCAATTCTGACTGTCAGTTATTCTGTCTGTCTCTCTCTCTGCCTCGCTCACTACCACGCCCCCCCCCCAACAAATATCCCAGCGTCGGACAATCAAGCCCAGAAACTGCTCTGCTACAACAGGGCGAATCGAGCGGTTGCAGTTCTCTGCAACCACCAGCGGGCGCCGCCAAAGACTTTCGAGCAGTCCATGGCCAATCTGCAGGCCAAGGTGAGATTGATCAGAGACGGAAAGTAGAGAAAAAGGGCCAGATGGCGAGGTGGGTATTGTGGAATGATCCAGAAAGAAGCTTAAAGAAAAAAAAAAAGCCAGAAGCCGTGAATGAGGGTGTCATGCAGACGGCTGCCTAAAATAAATCCTGAAAGTGACGTGGTGCTTGTAAATCTGCCTGTTTTTTGGTATGTCCTTGAGGTCCTGTGTCACTTACGCATTATTTGTCTTTCACAGATTGACAGCAGAAAGGAGCAGCTGGCACAGGCCAAGGGTGAGCTGAAGCAGGCAAAGAAGGAAGCCAAGGAGAACTCAGATAAGAAGCTGCTGGCGTGAGTGTCACTTGGGGGGGGGTGGGGTATTGCACCAGAGAAGCCGTGAAAGATCATGAACTACTGTAGCAGCAGTTTTTTTTTTTTAAAAGCTGTGGTACCCGTTTGAGCTAGAGGGCGCTGCACCCTTTTTAAAGTACGATATGGTCCGTGTGTGTATGAGTGTGATGGAGAAGAAGAAGAGGACAGTTCAGCGATGTGAGGAGCAGTTGTTGAGGATGGAGGTGCAGGCCACCGACAGGGAGGAGAATAAGCAGGTAGCCCTGAGCACCTCCAAGCTTAACTACCTGGACCCACGCATCAGCGTTGCCTGGTGAGTTACAAGTCTGCAGACAGCGCATTAAAACTGGCATGCACGGCATGCACGGATGCAGGCCTCATGCTCCCGTTTTTAGGGCTTTCTGTTTTACTCCTTCCTTACCCATCTCTTCTCTCAGGTGCAAGAACATGGACGTGCCCTTGGAGAAAATCTATAACAAAACTCAGAGAGACAAGTTTGCCTGGGCTGTGGACATGACTGAAGCCGACTTTGAGTTCTGAAGGCCTTTTTGTGTGTCCAGTGATCACATTTTCCATGCACGATACACTGTTTCCAGTTTTATTGCATTTTTATTTATTTTTAAACATTTTCATCAATATTTTATAGTATGAAAATATTCCTTTAAATTCCTAATAAAGTCTGTTATTGAAGTCATGAATATTGTATCGATAGGTTGTCAGAACTATAGTGATCTGAAAGCTTATTTGAGTCTGTCAGAGACTCTGTACTCTAAAATACTGTATTCACTACCCTGCAGATTTGCCCATATTATTTTTAAAAGATTTACACTGCAATGCAGGATATTGCATTTTACTTGATTTGTCAGATCTTCCCTTAGACCATCAATGGTTCATAAAAGTGTCATATTTTTTATTTTTATTAATTTTCCCAGTACAGATCATTTGCTACTTTTGTAGAATAATGGCAGGCTAAACGATTGCCAAATGACAGTCTCCAGTTTCAAAAGTACCAAAGATTTAAAGATGCACTGATGGTTTCAGCCAATACAGCAACAATCAGCCATCGGCTGATGATTACAAAGCCGATATTTAATGCCGATAATCCCCTTAAAAAATGGTAAACTATATTGCTTTGCACACCGGCATACTAAACATTTAGAAAAATGTCTTCTGTGTGGAATTATTTTAACATCATTAGAAATGCACTTTGCAAACATTGTTCAACTAGAATTTCACAAGGAGGATCTACGAATAAACATTTGAACACGACAAATTTGATTGCACACCTTAGGCGAGACAGTGAAGAGCATGAAGAGTTTCTGAAAAACAAATCCGTTCCAATAAAGGATACAGCACTGCAGAAAAATGCCAGGCTGTCAGTAACACAGGAGTCTGATACCAAAAGAAAATTCAATGCAGACAGTGGGAAATCAAAAGAAATTACTCAGAAAATTAGTGTTGATCACACTTGATGATCAGCCCTTCTCTGTTATCATTGTCATAAATATACAATGTATACAGTTAAAAATATAGCATTGGTGTTCTCTTACCAAACATAAATACCATATTTTTGGAATGTAACTAATTTATTTGGGTGGTGTCCCTTTAATTTAAGCAGAGCCTCCTGAACAATTGGCATCAGTGTCAGTTTCCAAAACAATGAGCTATTGGACTTCAGCTTGAAATTTCCCTATCAGCGCATCTCTCCTTAGATGTGCTCAGAATCACCCCGATTGTGTTGTCACTACAGGGATTTCAGCCTTTTTTTTACTCACTGCTAGCATCTAACCTTATTTTACCTTTGCATTGAGTTTATGGAATGAGGAGGGAATGTAAACAAGACTTATAATCTGTTTCTGCGTGTTTTTTTTTAGAGATTAGTATAGCACATACAATATTTAGGAAAGGAGGTAGGCTTGTGGTATGTATGAATCTGCCTGGGCTGGGTTCATATTCATGTAAGCTGGTTCTGATGGTGTATACTCTTAATACTCTTACTCAAGGTATCAGTTTTGTATTTGGCAAACACAACATTTAAAGTTAAGATTGTGGCATCTTTCTATGTCTGGAACAGTAATTCTTCATTAACTTGAGCAGATGAAACTTTCAGCCTGATGTTAAAACATCCTACTTGTGTTGGTTATGTGACTCTTCACCCCCAGAGATGGTCAGAAAGGGGCTCCTTTTTGTCCTCATTAAACTTTTTTTTATTATTAATACTTCAGTAAAGGTGACCATGTTCTGCAGATACACCTCCCATTTTCATGTTCCTGAAACCTCAGACCATTCAAATGTCCAGGTCTCAGAGGTGGTAGACAATAGTTTTAACCACTGCGCCACCATGCTGGCCCAAGCGTAATATAATTTTAAAATTTTAATGTGTATAGTCCAGGCCATAGTCTCCAGTCGCACAGGCTACTTTGTGATAATGCCCTCAGCCATAGCAGATGGACCAGGCTGCCAGCCAATGTAAGGAAAGCCCCCCGCCCCCCAATCGTCTAAGTATTCAATTGTACTATCTCGGTTTAGCTATTTTTAACCTAATTTTTCAGTCAGAAAATTTGCGAGTGCTGCACTTCATTTAGACATGGCAGTGACAGATCAGTACTAACCCACAGTTTGCACTCCGCGGGGCTTGTGCATCGAGTTTGCCACCTGCGACTTGCAGTAACTCAAGCTGCCTTAGATAATTATCTAAAGGCTTAAAGCTTAACAACTGTGTTGTAGTTATGCACGTATCCTCTACTTTTGTTAAGGCTGAAGCAATGAATGAAAGGTTGTTCTGGTGGCAAATTCGTTCTAATTTAACAACTCCTAAATTCCACTTACACTTTACATCGTGCACCACATGCCTACTGGACATAAGCAGGAGGAAGTCACGGGCGATGAGGACTGCGTTTCTCTACGGCGCAGTTGTCGCGCAAGGCTGAAATTCAGCTCTTTTCACGAGAGACTTCAAGGTATCGCGATATTATTCGTAATGAGTTTATTGGAAGCGAATAATTTGCAATTTGTAGTCTTTTTGAAGACTATTTTTTCGGATTTATATTAATTTGTCTGCATATGCATCCTAGCTGTTTATTCTTTCACCTTTTCAATATTCCATATAAAATTACTTCACATTTCGTTAAGCTTAAAAAACAAGAGTTAACCTAATTTCCGTGCAAATGTTTTAATACTTTTATAAATAAACATTTCAAAATAAACTAACAATTTTGTTTTAGTTGCGTACGGCTGCCGTGCTCCTCCGTGTTTGTGTGTGTGTGTGTGTGTGTATATATATATATATATATATATGTATGTATATATATATATATATATATGTATGTATATATATAAAATTTTAGGTTTGCATTACTGCAGCTTAGAAAAAGTGGTAATAGTGTATTTATAATTAACCGGTAGTTGTGATATATTACGCCCAAATCACTATCAACGTGATATTGTGTTTATAGGCTTTAGCTGACCCATGAGTCTGATACAGTCCTTGAATGCTGCGTTTAGCAAACTGCAAATTGTACATTGCAAACTGCCTGCCACTTTGACGCAGCAGTTGTCAGATGAGTCCGCGCTCCAGGGCATAGGAGTCACTTCTTAAAAACTTCCTATTATCTGTTACACATGAAGGCAATGACGGTGCATGGAAATAATATTATGTTCAATGTGCGGTAAAAGTACGACCGAAACAGTGACAACCCAGGAGAACGTTTTAAGTAAAGGTAAGTAAAACGCCGTTAAAATTAGAAAGTTAACGTTAATAGTGCTGGTTTAGTTCCTAAACTCAAAATGCCTTTGTGAGTTGAGTACTATCAGACTGGCTTTAGTACTTAAGTTAAACTTAAAAACGATTGTTTAGTTTCTTTTCTAAAAAGTTTTATACAAAAGTACAAGCTGTTGAATTATCTTAATTCGCATACAAAGACTGTTCAAACTGTTATTTTGTAAAGATTGTTTAGCACTGTTGTATTGGACTGTCGATAATGTCAACTAACAGAAATTGCCAAGCTTACATCTAAATGAAAAGGTGTTGTATGAAACCAATAAAAGATTACATCAGTCTTGGGTCTTGGATCGTTTAAGATCAAAATGGTATTTTTCAGGCGCTGTGTTTCTGGCAGGTGGTCATTTAATGAAGTATCAGTCACTTCAGTGTGAAAAGTTATTCTTAGCTTAGATGAAAGCCGGACCTTTAATATGAGGGAATATAATTTTCTTATTGGCGAACTTTTTATAAGCAATTACTTTTTTAATCGTGATTTCTCTTGCGAGTAATCTGCCTGGGCAAACCGCGTATTCAGGCGCGGTATTCCCAGTTTAGAGACTGGTGCAAAGAATGCAGTGTGTGTGCATCATGTCTTTTATTGTTTATTAGACGTGAAAATAAATTACCACGCAGGCAAAACTAGCGAATCATAGTTTCTGGTTATTTGAATGGTCCGCTACTCAATAAACCTAAGTAAATATAATTCTTCTTCGGGTTTGAAAGCTGTCATTCGGAGCAAATCATGAGTATCTTACGATATGCCCATAGTTAAATGGAAGCCATTTTATGGATGTGACAGATCTAGACAGTTATAATCACGTGGAAAGTTGAACATTTTTAATCCATGTATTGTATTTGTTGCACTGTGAATTTAAATGTTCGTAGACTGCTGAGGTCATGCGCACTGTGTTTACTTGAGGAATTCCTGCCTTTGGAATACACTGCATGTCAGATCTTGAAAGTAAAAATGCTGCTGCATAAACTGAGTTGCACGAATGGGCTACATTCATTATCTTAAACTATTAAGAATTTTGACCGGAAACGCGCAGAGCAGTCTTGCTTATGCATTATATTTGTAGGTGTCTAAACAAGGAAACAATGTTTCAGTTGCAATGCTGAAAGGTTCAAGTAATCTTGCAACAACCTCAGAAAGGCCTAATTTCCTCCTGATTAACTTTATTCATGTCATTCTCTTGAACATCTACGCTGATCAGCCATAACATTAAAGCCACACGCTTAATAATGTGTAGGTCTCCTCATACCACCAGAACAGCTCTGACCTGTCAAGGCATGAACTCCACAAGACCTCTGAAGATGTCCTATGGTCTCTGGCATCAAAACATTAGCAACAGATTCTTTAAGTCTTGTAAGTTGTGAGGTTGGGCCTCCATGGATCGGACATGTTTGTCCAGCACATCCCATAGATCCTTGATCAGATTGAGATGTAGGGAATTTTGAGGCCAAGTCAACACCTTAAAATCTTTTTCATGTTCCTCAATCCATTCCTGAAAAACTGCTGTGGGGGGAATACCGTTGTCACGAAGGGGTAAACTTTGTCAGCAACAATGTTTAGGTAGGTGGTACATGTCAAAGTAACATCTGCATGAATGTCAGGACCCAAGGTTTCCCAGCAGAACATTGCCCAGAGCATCACACTGCCTCCGCCATCTTGCCTTCTTGACATAGAGCATCCCGGTACCATCTCTTCCCGAGGTAACTGATGCACATGCACCTGGCTGTCCACGTGATATAACATTCAATGCGACCAATCTGACCAGACCACCTTCTTCCATTGCTCCATGGTCCAGTTCTGAGGCTCACATACCCATTGTAGGTCCTTTTGCTGGTGGACAGGGGTCAGTAGGGGCCCTCTGGCCAGTCTGTCTGTGGTTATACAGTCCCATATGCAACAAACTGCAATGCACTGTGTTTTCTGATATCTGAGCCTTGGGTGTCACCAGTTACCGGTTCACTGGTTGGCCTTCTTTGGATCACCTTTGCTAGGTACTGACCACTGCATACTGGGAACACCCTACAGGAGCTGCCATTTTGTAAATGCTCTGACCCAGTCATCTAGCCATCACAGTTTGGCCCTTGCACACATCCTTACACTTGCCCATTTTTCCTGCTTCCAACACATGGAATTCAAGAACTGACTTTTCACCTGCCTGATATATAATGGCACCCTTGACAAGTACCATTATAACAAGATAACAATATAAATTTCACCTGCCAGTGGTTTTAATGTTATGGCTGATCAGTGTAGATATAGGCCTACTATATAATACATGCATTTGAGTAACAATGGCTACTTAACATCATAAATTCACATTTTGGGGAAAAATGTTTTTGTTTTTTTTTTAAAGCAGAAAGTTTATTGATGTGAATGGCATGAAAGAGTGAAATCTGTGATCCACATCAAGGAGGAATTCCTTTCAGTCAAAGTTCTGTCCTTTTAAAAAATTAGATTCATTAAAAGGCTCTTCTAAGCAATAAACGGCCTGAAATTTTTAAATGTTCGTTTGAAGAACATGACCGTAGTAAAAAGAAAATGAGTGTTCTGTCATTTTGACAGATTCCTGATTGGAGAAAAATTATAACCACACTGCAACAATGGCATGAATCACATTTCCTGAGAGGCAACCATGTGTGCATGCTTGTATTGATAACCGATAATGGGATTGCTTGTATTGATAATTGATAATGAGCTTGCTTCTGTTGATAATTGATAATGAAATGGGTTGCATTGATATAGCTGCTTTTATGTGTATTGTGTTGCTTTAGCTCCCTAAAACGTTGACCCAATCAAATTTACAGTGGTGCAGTGAACAGACAAAGGTGCAGAGGGAGTGATGGTTTACAGCACAGTGAGGGATGAGCAGAACTGCAGGTATGAGGCTTGTCACAAAGGTGCTATGAGCAGAGTTGTAGGTATGGTGAACAATAACCTGGATCAGGTATTAAAAAAAACATCAGCTACTGTCTTGCTCAATAATTACTTCACCCCCTCGGCTGTGACACAACAGTTGTGACTGGTGCTTTCAGAATGAGGAAGACACACATTGACTTCTCTGTCGGTTTCACGGATCCTCTTCTCTGTTCTATTTTTTCCTCGTCACATGAAAATTAGTCCCTAATGAAAAAGTGTAACTGGGAAACACCAGTTTCTCTTCTTACAGGGATTCTCCTAGAAGCAAAAATCAATAAAAATAAATATAAAATGGAAGCTTTTACCTTTTTGATTGAATACTTTACTTATAAAATATCAATGTAGTTATAGAAATATGTGCAGTTCTTAGCTGGCTTCTTCTGTTTATGCCGCAGCCTTCCGGAATACATGACGTGCCATTAGATGCTTGTTGCTCATTAGAGTGTTTGCTTCTCGGTGACCTTGTGACGTGTTAATCAGCTTTTATCTGAAGATAACAGGGAGCGTCGGTATCATGAAATCTAGAAACGAACTAATAAGAAGTTGTGGTTATGAGATCCCACTGAGCTCTTGCAGTTAATTAGCGTGATCTGCAGGAAACCATCAAAGATTAGCTGGCAAGCCTCATTTCCTTGTTGGTCTATCGTTCATAATTTCTTTAGTAGCCAACATGCTAGTAGCTTATATTTTTCATGCTGTTTACCAAGCTCACTTGCTCTTCTGCTGTGTCCAGGGCTCCTGGGATGATGGCCTCTCGTTGCTGAAGATGGACATGGATGTGGAAATGAAAGAGGACCTAGGGAGGTCGTGGTCCCTCCTGTCCTGGGTGGCGTCCTGCGTGATGGTGTTTGGCGGCATGGTACCATACATCCCACAGTATCTGGAGATTCAGAGGACCAGCAATACGGAAGGCTTCTCCACACGTGTCTGTTTGGTGCTGCTCATTGCCAACATCCTCCGCATCTTCTTCTGGTGAGCAAGATCGGGGCTGCAGGGAGGCCTGTCACAGTAATTACACTTCTGTTGGGCGTTATGCTGTCTCAGGAGTAACTGCGGTAAACAATATTATTGTCATTTTAAGATCATTTTATGCCGCTCGTGTAATGATAATATAGTAGCACAATAATGCAAGTGCACCACATATTCAAATGTTTGAATAGGAAAAATGTAAATATCCTAAATAAATAAAACATAAATAAAAAACATAGATAAATGGACTCTCAGGCTCTGTTAACATTATATATTTCACATTGTATATTTTCCCAAACCCCATGATCAGAATGTTAACAAAAATGGATAGTAGCTTTGAAGAATGGTTGATTGAGAAAATCCAGAAATACTGGCATTTATATGATTCGTCGCTACAGGATTATAACGATTCCCAGATGGCTACAAACTAAATAAAATACGTTTGTACTGCAGCCCCATATACCCATGTATGTTCTTGCGTTAGTGTTATTATGTCTTTGATTTTTTTATTTTATTTTGGTTTTTATATTATTTTTTATTATCTTTTGAAATCTAGTTTACTTTCAGGCATGGTTTAAAGATTTTAATTTAGTTGTTACATACTCTACTTTAGATTTTAATAGTTTTTTTTCTAGGGACAGATGTAAAGTTATAAGGCTTTGCTGGCAAAGTGGCGATGTATGTTGGGTATTTCTGTGGTTCAAGTTCAATGCACTTGAGGCCCAAAGATAAATCATTACTTCAGCTAAATAGTATTTATAAACATTTGCTTTTATTAAACCGCAGTAGGTTGTGGAACCAATATTTATAGTTGTCGGTTAGTTATAGCTTTTAAGTTCTGTTCATGGGAATGTTGTCATTGACAATTATAACCCTGACATGTGTGATATAATGCATGGTTAGTTTTAGTAAAATTCTTATTTTTATAACATCCATACCACACTGATAATGTAATTATCATGACAGGCCTAGAGAGAAGAGAGTAAAGGCTGATTTACACTTCTGCATCAAGCCTGCGTCGTGACTTACGCGTGTGGCCTACGCCGTTGTGCGCATTTATACTTGTGCGCTGGTGCGTCTTCACTCAGCAATTACACCACCAAAGCGCTAGATAATACATAGTTTTTGATGTTGTGTTTATTGTCTTCCCACCCTGCGACATATTCAATTGCTGAATCATGCAATTAAAACAGAAAACATTTGACAAAGTGTCCATTTATCTAGTCCTGGCTATATTCGTGCTGCTCCAAACTCCCTGTAGACAAATTTGGAAAAATGCCAAAAGTCTTAGATTTTCTTTGGCTACTTATGGTTAATGTTAGGACTGGATAGGGGTTCAGGTCTTCATGTTGGGATTAGGGTTTTCCCTACAGAAATGAATGGAAAGTCCCCACAAAGGTATAATGACAAAACCGTGTGTGTGTATGTGTGTGTATGTGTATGTGTGTGTGTATGTATGTGTGAGCGGGTTTACCTATCCTTATGGGGACATAATGTCCCCATAACGTGATAAATATCCGTTTTTTTCCCTTATGGGGACCGGTTTCCTGGTCACCATAATGGAAAGCTCTATTTTATAAAAATCAGTGACTGCTATGAAAAAACTAAAAATGCAAAAACTCTTGTATTTTGTTTGGTTACTTATGGTTAGGGCAGGGTAGGGGTTAAGGTTGTCATAGTTAACGTTAGCATTTTTCCCATTGAAATGAATGAGCGGTCCCCATAAGGATATGTTTACCCTACATGTGCGTGTGTGTGTGTGTGTGTGTGTGTGTGTGTGTGTGTGTGTGTGTGTTACTGGAATGAGCCTCAAGTGTGGTACTATGAACTGCCATAGCCATGTCAGTAGAACTTAGTAATTTCAGTCTGAATGAAGATACGGTGTTTGGTGTTTATCAACAAACAAGGTGATGGAAAATTGCTGTGTTAGCTAATGGCTGCCGAGATAAAAGCAGGAAAGAGATCATTGTGAAAGGGACACGGTAAGACAGCGATCTCCTTTCATGAAATGTACCAGAATCAAGTTCCCCAGAGCTCTGTAGAGCTAGATGTAGGACCAACGCATTTAGTAATTCCATTTTGAATGTTCTGAAGTTACAGTGAAATGAGTGCCAGGGGCCCCAGGAATAGAGCTGCACCTTATCAAGGTGTCTGTTTGGTTTATGAGTATGTGGGAGAGTCTCCATTGTTTTGTCAGGGGAGAGAGGAGCTTGAGGTTAAAGCATAGGGTTGGACATTTATCTAGCACCCCAGGGGCATTTTTTCAGGAATTAAGGGTTTTGTTTAAGAGCCCAACAGTGATGTAACCATTCTTGCCGCGAATGGGACTTGAACTAACAACCTTCTGCTGACCCACGGACCACCCCCAGTGGGCCCTGCTAGAGGCCGTGTCTTTGCACAGTGACATGGTGGATAAACGGTTGAAAAGCAGACTAAATTCATCCCCTTCTTCAGAGTGGAATAAGGGGAATTTAGACAAATCCCAAGTAAATCTCCAAGAAAACTCCACAGTTTGAGGCTATGTTGAAAGTGAAGATGTTACGTTGTCAATCTGTGTTTGGAAAATCTCCTGAAGCTGGGCTTTTAATTAGATGTTAGGAAGGAGGAGGTTATTAAACTTTCTATTATGGCAGACATAACATGACTACATTTTTGCAGCCGTTGTTTTTATATTACAATATCGTTGCATCACATCTGTCAGTCAGTTGGCTTGGTTACACGTCTTCATTGGAATTCAGGAAAACGCCTTAACAGCACATTACCTTCAATACAAATTTTTGCATTACTCTCAATTTGCAATTTTTATTATTGCTGCACTTCCTTGGGGGAGAATTTTTCTCTCTGCATGATTAGCTTAAGACTAAGTTCAGTTTAATGTGAACTAACTCGCTGCGTGAGCCTGACGGCGTAACTCCGGTTCACGGTGATTGTATCACGTGGGCGTGCGTCCTTGAGCGCTCGTGACCGCGTGCTGCCCGTGTGCCCACAGGATCGGAAAGCAGTTTGAGCTGACGCTGCTGATGCAGAGCGTGGTGATGATCGCCACCATGCTGGCCATGCTGCAGCTCTGCTGCAACGTCCAGGGAACCAACCGGGTCGCCACCAAGCAGCACCACTTCACAGGTAACGCAGCAGAATCCATAAGGTGCCCCATCCTCCAGAACCGCTCCTCCAGGACAGCATTAGCTAAGTCACACACCTGATGACCCCAGCTGACAAGGTTAATGTAACATTATTTCCGCATTTTACATCTTAACAAAGGTTCTGCCAATGTCAGCAGAATAACAGTATTACCTGAGCTGAATGCAATTAATGTTGAAGAATATTGTTTTATAGTAAAATATTATTTTATAAAAGTGTTACATGCACATACTGTACCGCGATTGCGCCACCCAGCCTTGGACCTGCGACCCTAAAGGCGTAAAGCGACAGGGATACTCGCCGCTCTACCACACCCTTCCTCTGTTTTCATATTATTAGGCACTTTCATACCGCAGGAACTTTATTCCGGAACCGGGAACTTTTGTCTTGTTCACACCGCCGGAACCCAGTTCCTCGGAGGCAGTTCTGGATCCCTTTTTTAGTCCCTACTCCATACTAGAGCTGTGTCCAAAATCAGGTAGTTTTCGTTCAAACACAAACTACTGGGGGGTGGGCTTACAGCGATAACTTGCTGATTGGTTGACCACAAGCACTGGAGTAAAAATTGAGCAGATGGAATTATTTTTGTACCTTTATTACATTTGATGCATCAGTTAATACATGTTTGCTTGCATCTCCATATTTCTGCATCAGAAAATTTGATTAATAACCAATATACTTGTGTCTAATATTGTCGGCACCAGCGGTGAAACTTGCCAGCGATTATTAGCGAGATAACATGACATTGTTTTTTTTTTCTGTGGAAAACAAAAGATCGACATGCTGGCCAGATTTAATAAGAATTATAAACATGTCATGGGTCATATAAATGAAAAATAAATAAAAGGCTGTGTTTGCTGTTGTGCCATTTGAAAGTGACTCGGAGCTACAAAAGTCCCCACTGGAGATATAAACTGGGACCGGGTTCTGGAACTTCCTAGAATGAAAAATTCTTAGTGGGGATGTTCTAAATTTCGTTGATCATTTTTCTTATCTGCAATCAGAACTGCAAATGTCACGGGTCCTAAAAAAAAGAAGGTATTGCTTGTAAATAGTTGATTTTTGGGAATTAATCAACCCTTCCTTAAAACCCTCAGTATTCCATGACCTGCCAGAAAACTGGACTGGGGGGTTGGTATTCCTTGGCATGGGACACCCTGGACTGGATGCCATTCCATCACAGGGCACATACACACACACACAGTCAGACACTCTGGGTAGGTTAGAGATGCCGGTTCTCCTACCTGCGTGTTTTTAGAGTACAAGAGGAGACTACACCGTCTCATTTTATAGTTGGTTCTGTAGAAGTTGATGTAAACGTTCACATACATGCCATTTGTAGGGGAAGGTTAGGTGTTCCTCTACAGCTTCATGCCTTATGGGTGTATAACTTTTAATGTAGACACCAGTTTATAGAAAAAGGTATCTTCAGTCCTCAAAATGCCATGAATGAAGACAGAGTAAAAAAAACTGCCAGAAGTATCCAGGTGTGCATTTGGCCTCTGAATTTAGCCCATTTTTTGTTGATTTACAGACCAGGAAAAAAACTGTAGAGAAAGGAAATATGTTTCCTGGCACAATAGCAATGCGTAAAATGGGTTTTACATGCCGGTGAAAGCTTTTCGGTAAGTCCACTGCAGCTTTTGCGGTTGCACTAAAAGGGTGAGCAGCCAGACAGGAAATGCGCAGAGTGCTTTGGGGTCGGCCACGTAGCCATTAACAAAATGCGCTTGATCCTTGGCATGTCAACAACCGATCATCCTGTGAGTCTGCAGCAGTTAAGGAGGGATACTTGTCCTATTGCACCTGGATTTCTGGAATAAGTTTGTTGTTTTGTCCTTTGGATGGTTGTTTTTGTTAATATTGTTGATGTTTAATTTTGGTTTGTCGATAGTTATGTATTTTGAATTGTTATATATAGTCTATTACTTGTATATGAGGCGGGAAATCGCCTTTAACATTTCATTGATTTTATTACTCATGATGCTACAGGGTCTTGCAGGCATATGCATATTCTGCTGGTAATTTGTCAGTTCAGTGAGTGTGTGTACATTTCTGTGCATATTATATATTTATGAGGACATCCTGATCACATTTATCATCTTTCAGCTGATTGATTATTTCTAATATTCGCTTATTTTCTCTGATGTTTACGCTTGAGGCATTTAAACTCATTTTTTTATGCTATCAGAAGGATAATTCTGCAGACACACATGAGAAAATCTTTACGGTTATTGAATTATTGAGACACACTTTTCAGAAGATTGTAAGGGGTTACAGATTTTTTCTCATCCATAGTATTTTATGCCGATTTTCAAAGCTTACATGTTTGTTCGTAAATTAAAGTATTACTCATTGTGTATTTTTTGGATGTGCCAAAAAGGCAGAGGAATCGGCTACATACTATTCAGACGATAAGTGATGCATTTGCAAGTGAACCCAGTGCTATAATTGGCTTCTAATCTTTTAATGATTTTAACACCTCTATATTATGCATCAGTCGATGCATCTGCTGTGAGATCTGATCGGTAAAGATAGGTGAAAGTTCTCGATCGCTGTCTGCAGTCTTTGTTTCTTCAATACAATGTCTCTTCCACGAGCTGTGAAATTTTACCCTCGTCCCAAAGAACATTTAACAGCTTTCCTTTCCTGGCACAAAATAACTTGCCTAAATTAATTGAAGCGGTCAAAAACAAAAGGGCATTTGTTGTATATACACCGCTGTTGAACTCAGGGGAAGAGATTAAGTTAGACCTGTGTTTGGCTTGTGTTAGAAGCTCAGAATGACGTTACTGCTCTGCTGCTCATACAAGCGTGTCCAGCCTGTAGCCGACGTTTAAGAGAAAAATGTTGACATTTTCAAATGACCTTCAGATTCAACTTACTAATACTTGTTACAATTACAAAAGCGATACAAGAACTACACGTAAATGCCACTGTGTTGTACATAATGATTGTTTCTATTATAGGTAATATAGTTTCCGTGCTTACGCAAAAAGCTGTAACTTAGCCAGGTATTTGCCTGGATTTTTAATCTCGGCAATGGTAAGGCGGACTGGTCTTCAGATAGTGTAGGAGGATCAAAGACAAGGTGATTGTCACTCGTATGCTGTCGTCCTGGGTGTGACCAGTAGTCAGTAGTTCCCTACAGCTGTCAAGCCAACTCCCAGAACGGTAGGAAATCTCCTCCGATCAGTTCCATGTCCGTGGGATCAGGTTACAACTGGAATGCGAGGAGTTGGTTACACTCAGAATAGTGCTGACCATATTGCCCTCCCACCCATCTTCACCCCCCGTGTCCTAATCGCAGGGGTATAGGGGTAAACGTCACACATGGGACACGTGGTTTTCAGTATGAAGAATACGCTTTAGTACTATTGCTTTGTATTTAGACTTGAAAGCTGTGAAAGCATCCACAATGAACTCGTTGAGTCCATTTTTCTTATGTGCAAAGATCTCTGTGTGCAGCACCCGCTTTTGAATTTGTAATTTTTGTTTTCCTTTTTGTTTGCTGTCCCTTCTCATCCTCTTAAGAGCTGCCGTTCTGCTACTTGAGGCAAAGACACGAACAACTGCGCTTTGGCTTACGTTACAGCGTTCCCCGCGGGCCGCTCGTTATGTGCTGGCCTGCATGTCATGTATGAACTGCACAGAGGCGAACGGCCAAGAAAATGTCTGAGCTGAGCATGCGTCAGGAGTGTGGGACACCCGAGGACGAGGCAGGCAGGACCTCAGGTCATGTGACCTGCCTGGTATGTCATACAGCTAGTGCTGAAGAGCAAGCGGAAACATGAAAAATGAACCCGATTAATAGGGGGTGTGTGTTTTTCTGATGACGTGGATTCACGTTCTACTGGTTTTTAGTGGTGTTAAAGGAGAGGTTCTTCCAAGTGTGCTGTAATACAACAGGCAGTTAAGCTTACCAGATTGTGCCAAGTACCATTAATAAAACAATCATTAAGTTTTACTCACACAGTCAAAAAACATTTTGCCCATTTTTTCTGTCTTCTTTTTAAGTCAAATAATACTAAAATAAAATTCAATTAATAGTCTCATTAGGTTTTAGTGTCTCCATGAAACAGGCTGCAGTGGTAACTTTGGGGTGTGAATTTTATATAAAGAATACGGTAATCCGACACCCAACACAGCATTTGGGCTTGGTCAGTAGATTGGCGGTGAATGACAGTGTCAGCAGGGGGATTACAAACAGGGACATTGCTGTAGACACCATTTCTAGTGTGCAAGGGAATAATGGCCAGAAGCCCACAGTCAGGACTTTTCTCATTATATGACCAGGAGCTAAGGGCATGTGGCCAGAAACAGTACGAAATGTGTAAGTAAAATGTCCAGCCGCTGCCATTGACCAACCATGTTACAGTACCTGATATAAAAAAAATATAATTAACTCATACATCTGCTGTGTTTATGTGGAACTACAGGGATCAAGGTATTGAGTTACTTTTTCAGAACATTTCACAAACCAAATCAATTTGATTTATTTATACAACAAGATACACTATTTGCACTATTTTGGGACACAACACCTCATAATCATTGAATTCAGGTGTTTCATTCCGACCCATTGCCACAGGTGTATAAAATCAAGCACCTTGCCATGCAGTCAGGTTTACAATCATTTGTGAAAGAATGAGTCATTCTGATGAGCTCAGTGAATTCAAGCGTGGTGCTGTCACAGGAAGCCACCTTTACAATAAGTCAGTTTGTGAAATTTCTTCCCTGTTAGATATTCCACAGTCAACTATAAGTGGTATTATTGGGTGAGTATGGTGTGGAAGAACTTGACACAGAGTCCTGACCTCAACCCCATGCAACACCTTTGGGATGAACTAGAATGGAGATTGTGAGCCAGGCCTTCATGTCCGGCATCAGTGCCTGACCTCACAGATGTTCTACTGAATAAATGGGCAAAAATTCCCACAGACACTCCAATGTCTTGTGGGAAACCTTCCCAGAAGAGTGGC